GAAACAAAAAATATTCATTTAAAAATGATGAAATTAATGAAATTGAAAAATATTTTTCTTTTTAAGAAAAACTAATTTTCTTTTAAAGTTTCAAAGAATTTGGTAAATATTGTTACTGTTATTGTTATTATTGCTACCTTTCAAATTTAACTACTAATATATGTCATACCTTTTTTTTTTTTTTTTTTTTCAAAATTTGTCTACTTAAATTACTATACTTTTTTTTTTGGTGATATTTAAATGGTTATGCTTTATTTAAATTTATTCTAGCATGTGGAATTCTAGCATGTTTAAGGACATCTATTTGCTAATATTTAATTTAGAATATTTGGAATGTAATATTGTTTATCTTGCATTGTATAATAGCTCAAATATTTTAGAAAAAGTAATAAAGTAAAAAATTAGTAAAAAAAAAAGTAAAAAATTATGTTACTTATAAATTTAGTCATTGCTATTTTCAATTATTAGCAATATTTGATTCTTGAATTTGCAATTCAATTTTAAGTAATCGAATATTAGCTCATATTTCAGATAATATATGCTAATCAATGGCAATCAATGCAACTAATAAATGATCAAAAAGCAATTCATTTTCGTCCTTTTTTTTCTTTACATTTAGGAAAATTATCATTGAATAATAATCAGTTCAAAAAAAAAAAAGCATTGATCATAGCTAATTGATCAAAATAACTGCAATCATTTAGAATCAAATCACGATCATTTTAGACAAATCAAAAAATGATTGTTTTAACTATCCAATAAAGCTAATAACAATTTTGTGGACAAATGTTCAATTATTTGACAAAATTTTCTTTGTCGCAAAAAAAAAAAAAAAAAAAAAACTAATCATAAAATAACAATTGAACACTGAAAATAAATTGATAATTAATAATAATAATTAAATTTTTCTTATAAAATTCCTCGAGTATGAAATAACAAATTTTGTCACTTATTTTTTTTTTTTAAATCCTGAAATTGGTAATAGTTGTAGTTCCTTCAAAATTTGAGAAATTTTGAAAAAGCAAAGATTATTTGTTATAAAAATGAGCAAATTTCAAAACATATTTATAATTAATTTCAGGATAAAAAATCCTATCAAGAATTTACATGTGGTTTGAATTTATAATCTTTTCAATTTTAATACCAATAATTTTTGAAATAGTTTTTAATATTACTTTAATTAAAAAAAAAATTTATTAAGTATTACTTTAATCAAAATCAAAAAATTGATTATATATTACTTTAATTTATTATATATTACTTTAATCAAAATCAAAAAGTTTAGCAATTAAGCTTACATATTACCTTCATGCTGAAAGCTAAATGATTGCAAAATTTCAAATTTAACATTTTCTTACACCTATTTTTATTTTAAAATAACTTAAAATTTTTGTTTTGCTAGATTTTTGTAGCTTAATTTAATTAAATAAGCTTTACCGATTGATATATTTCTCGAGAAAAATTTTTATAATTTTTGCAATCTGATATAAAAAATTTGACTTTAGTGATAAATTTATAATTGATATAAACTGTTATCATATCTCTACTAGCCAAGCCAATAAGTGTTAAATTTTTCATCTAATGTTACCTAAGTTTCAAAAGCAGAATTTTATATTTATATTTTTAGCTTAAATTATATTTTTGTCAAATTAATTTTTTCATTTAATTAAGAAAAGTTTATTATTTAAAAAATTCCATTCAGTTTTAATAGTTTCAAATAATTACAGCTATCAGTTTTACGTAATTTATGCATATTTTAACAATTTCAGCAGTTTTATGCTTATATTTGAATTTATAATTTTAATTTTGCGCTCAAATCTTTTTTTAGAATAATTGATTCGTGATAATATGAAGTTATTATCAGAACTATATTTGATAACTTTTAAAAATAACTAATTAATTGATAACTAGTAAAACTGCTATAGAATCCTAATTATTATTGATTAAATCTATTAGATTCAAAACATTTGCTGTTAAACTGAATGAAATTATGAGAAATTTAATATAATTTTTTTTTTTTTTTTTGCTCATTAAATCATTAAATGATCAATGCCGCATTCTTTAAAAGCATTAATTGATTCAACTGATTTAATCAATATTATCAAATCAGTGTAAATAATTTACCAATATTATCATATCACAATATCAATGTAATTTAAGTAGATTAAGGATATTAAATGTTAAATTATTTTTATAATATCAATATTCTATCAGTTATAATCAGTGTGACATTTTTGTGACAATTTCTCCTTTCCTAAATTCATTTGCATTCAAATGAAAGCACTTTTAATGATTTGTTAATTTATCAATTTTTTTTTCTTAAACGCTCTTACGCTGATCACACAGCTAATTGATAAATAACACATTTCAATTGTTTAGCTGATAAGATATATCAAAATGAACTTTTATAAGATTGATCTGAACATCTTAGCTAAATCATTCATTTATTTTCAAATTAATTTTTATTATCATAAACAACCAACAATTTAATTCTATTAATTTCATTCTTTGTCTTTCACAGTTTTTTTCCTAAAATTTAATCATTTCCCATCCATTAAATCAATTAATCTATTTGATAATAATAAATCAATCTTATGTGCAACAAATAATTCTTTTTTTTTTTTATCTCATAAATCGATTTGAAAATTGATTTATTATTATCAGTGTGTTTCAATCAGTTACAAAAGTGACAAAAATATTCACAAACATTTCAAATTTTTCCGACTTAAAATTTTCAAAATAATTTTTTATCACTTGTGCTTAATTTAAAAAAAAAAAAAAAAAAAAAAAAACTTATTTTCTTACATATTTTATCAATTCATAAAATTTCAAATTTTCATAAGAACTTTTTTTTTTTGAAAAAAGAAAGAAAAGAAGATGTATAACTGTATTATAATGTAATTTCATATCACAAAAATTATCCTATTATAATGAAAAAATCAAATGAAATAATATATCATTGACATATAAATAGCAAACAAAATTAATTATCATATTAAATTAAAATTTGAAATTAGAAAAAGAGAACAATTCATTTTATTAGTTATGTCACATTACTTTTATACAATTATTTCAATCAATACAAAAGTTTTTTTTTTTAGTTTGATTCCATTTCAATCAACATATATAATAGTTTGATTCCATTTCAACATATATCATATTCGATACATTTATTTATTTTATAATTATTATACTTCCCAGAACAATTTTCCCAAAAACTTCAGCTAGAAAATCAAAATTTATTACTTTTTCTAAAATATTTGAGCTATTATACAAGATAAACAATATTACATTCCAAATATTCTAAATTAAATAATACCAAATAGATATCCTTAAACATGCTAGAATTCCACATGCTAGAATAAATTTAAATAAAGCATAACCATTTAAATATCACCAAAAAAAAAGTATAGTAATTTAAGTAGACAAATTTTGAAAAAAAAAGAAAAAAAAGGTATGACATATATTAGTAGTTAAATTTGAAAGGTAGCAATAATAACAATAACAGTAACAATATTTACCAAATTCTTTGAAACTTTAAAAGAAAATTAGTTTTTCTTAAAAAAGGAAAAATATTTTTTCAATTTCATTAATTTCATCATTTTTAAATGAATATTTTTTGTTTCGCTGATTTTTTTTTAACTAATCTAATTTAGGTACTAAATAGTTTAATTGATTCTTTTATTCTATATTATATTGCAACTAAAAAATAAAAAATTATTTCATAATTTAATTTAATCACTGAGTTATTCAATTTATTATCATCAAAACAGATAGCAAACATGATTTTTTTTTTTTGTAATTTTAGGTTTTTTTTTTTCTTTTTCTTTCCTATCATATTTTTTGTTCTCATTTTTTTTTTTTTTTTTTTGTTAAGCAAGAAAAAAAGACATAAAAATTCAATGAAATACCATACGGAAATTACATTTAAAAAAAAAAATTATTGATCATAAAACTTTCAATAGCCTTTGCAATTTTAACTTTTTATTTTGTTTTTGTCCTTTTATCTCTTTCTTTTCTGGTCGTTTTAATTCTAGAAAAATTCATTCAGAAATTTATTCAGCCCTCATCGCTCCGCTACCACCCCCGCGCCTACAGGCCACGCCTTCGTCGCCCCGCCCCTAATACGCTTGCTTGACCACGCCCTTTTCGCCCCGCCTCCGCCACGCCCGCATGGCCACGCCCCTTTTCGTCTTGCCCCCCGCCATTACTGCACCTCTTATCACTGTACCTCTTATCACTGTACCTCTTATCACCGTACCTCTTATCACTGTACCTCTTATCACTGCACCTCTTATCACTGTACCTCTTATCACTGTACCTCTTATCACTGTACCTCTTATCACTGTACCTCTTGGTACCGCACCTTTTGGTACCGTACCTCTTGTTACCGCACCTTTTGGTACCGTACCTCTTGGTACCGTACCTTATGGTACCGTACTTTTTGTTATTGTACCTCTTGTTACCGTACCTTTTATCACCGTACCTCTTGGTACCGTACCTCTTATCACTGTACCTCTTGGTACCGTACCTTTTGGTACCGTACCTCTTGTTACCGCACCTTTTGGTACCGTACCTCTTGTTACCGTACCTTTTGGTACCGTACCTCTTGTTACCGCACCTTTTGGTACCGTACCTCTTGGTACCGTACCCTTTATCACCGTACCTCTTGGTACCGTACCTCTTATCACTGTACCTCTTGGTACCGTACTTTTTGTTATTGTACCTCTTGTTACCGTACCTTTTGGTACCGTACCTCTTGGTACCGTACCTTTTATCACCGTACCTCTTGGTACCGTATTTTTGTTATTGTATCTTTTGGTACCGTATCTTTTGTTGATGTACCTCTTGTTACCGTACTTTTATCACTGTATCTCTTGGTACCGTACCTCTTATCACTGTACCTTTTGGTACCGTACTTTTTGTTATTGTACCTCTTGTTACCGTACCTCTTGGTACCGAACCTCTTGTTACCGCACCTTTTGGTACCATATCTTTTGTTAAAACGGTGATAGGAAGTACGGTACCAAGAGATACAGTGATGGTAGGTACGGTAAGAAAACGGTACCAAGAGGTACAGTAATAAAGATACGGTACCACGAAATACGGTGATAAAAGTGGTACCAAGAGGTACGGTACCAAAAGGTACGGTAACAAGAGGTACAATAACAAAAGCGGTACGGTACGATAAGAGGTACGGTACCAAGAGGTACGGTGATAAGGTACGGTACCAAGAGGTACGTACCAAAAGGCGGTAACAAGAGGTACGGTACCAAAGGTACGGTACCAAGAGGTACAGTATAAGAGGTACGGTACCAAGAGGTACGGTGATAAAAGTACGGTAACAAGAGGTACATAACAAAAAGTACGGTACCATAAGGTAAGAGGGTGGTACCAAAAGTACGGTAACAGAGGTACGGTACCGTGATGCAAGAGGTACAGTGATAGAGGTACAGTGATAAGAGGTACAGTGATAAGAGGTACAGTGATAAGAGGTACAGTGATAAGAGGTGCATAGAGGTACAGTGATAAGAGGCAGTGATGAGGTGCAGTGATAAGAGGTGCAGTGATAAGAGCAGTGATAAGAGGTGCAGTGATAAGAGGTACAGTGATAAGAGGTACAGTGATAAGAGGTACAGTGATAGAGGTAGTGATAAGAGGTGCAGTGATAAGAGAGGTGCAGAGGTACAGTGATAAGAGGTACAGTGATAAGAGGTGCAGTGATAAGAGGTACAGTGATAAGAGGTACAGTGATAAGAGGTACAGTGATAAGAGGTGCAGTAATGGTGGGGGCGGGACGAAAGGGGCGTGGCCATGCGGGCGTGGCGGAGGCGGGGCGAAAAGGGCGTGGTCAAGCAAGCGTATTAGGGCGGGGCGACGAAGGCGTGGCCTGTAGGCGCGGGGGTGGTAGCGGAGCGATGAGGGCTGAATAAATTTCTGAATGAATTTTTCTAGAATTAAAACGACCAGAAAAGAATGAGATAAAAGGACAAAAACAAAATAAAAAGTTAAAATTGCAAAGGCTATTGAAAGTTTTATGATCAATAATTTTTTTTTTTAAATGGAATTTCCGTATGGTATTTCATTGAATTTTTATGTCTTTTTTTCTTGCTTAACAAAAAAAAAAAAAAAAAAATGAGAACAAAAATATGATAGGAAAGAAAAAGAAAAAAAACCTAAAATTACAAAAAAAAAAAATCATGTTTGCTATCTGTTTTGATGATAATAAATTGAATAACTCAGTGATTAAATTAAATTATGAAATAATTTTTATTTTTAGTTGCAATATAATATAGAATAAAAGAATCAATTAAACTATTTAGTACCTAAATTAGATTAGTTAAAAAAAATCAGCGAAACAAAAAATATTCATTTAAAAATGATGAAATTAATGAAATTGAAAAAATATTTTTTCTTTTTTAAGAAAAACTAATTTTCTTTTAAAGTTTCAAAGAATTTGGTAAATATTGTTACTGTTATTGTTATTATTGCTACCTTTCAAATTTAACTACTAATATATGTCATACCTTTTTTTTTCTTTTTTTTTCAAAATTTGTCTACTTAAATTACTATACTTTTTTTTTTTGGTGATATTTAAATGGTTATGCTTTATTTAAATTTATTCTAGCATGTGGAATTCTAGCATGTTTAAGGACATCTATTTGCTAATATTTAATTTAGAATATTTGGAATGTAATATTGTTTATCTTGCATTGTATAATAGCTCAAATATTTTAGAAAAAGTAATAAAGTAAAAAATTAGTAAAAAAAAAAAAGTAAAAAATTATGTTACTTATAAATTTAGTCATTGCTATTTTCAATTATTAGCAATATTTGATTCTTGAATTTGCAATTCAATTTTAAGTAATCGAATATTAGCTCATATTTCAGATAATATATGCTAATCAATGGCAATCAATGCAACTAATAAATGATCAAAAAGCAATTCATTTTCGTCCTTTTTTTTTTCTTTACATTTAGGAAAATTATCATTGAATAATAATCAGTTCAAAAAAAAAAAAGCATTGATCATAGCTAATTGATCAAAATAACTGCAATCATTTAGAATCAAATCACGATCATTTTAGACAAATCAAAAAATGATTGTTTTAACTATCCAATAAAGCTAATAACAATTTTGTGGACAAATGTTCAATTATTTGACAAAATTTTCTTTGTCGCAAAAAAAAAAAAAAAAAAAAAAAACTAATCATAAAATAACAATTGAACACTGAAAATAAATTGATAATTAATAATAATAATTAAATTTTTTCTTATAAAATTCCTCGAGTATGAAATAACAAATTTTGTCACTTATTTTTTTTTTTAAATCCTGAAATTGGTAATAGTTGTAGTTCCTTCAAAATTTGAGAAATTTTGAAAAAGCAAAGATTATTTGTTATAAAAATGAGCAAATTTCAAAACATATTTATAATTAATTTCAGGATAAAAAATCCTATCAAGAATTTACATGTGGTTTGAATTTATAATCTTTTCAATTTTAATACCAATAATTTTTGAAATAGTTTTTAATATTACTTTAATTAAAAAAAAAATTTATTAAGTATTACTTTAATCAAAATCAAAAAATTGATTATATATTACTTTAATTTATTATATATTACTTTAATCAAAATCAAAAAGTTTAGCAATTAAGCTTACATATTACCTTCATGCTGAAAGCTAAATGATTGCAAAATTTCAAATTTAACATTTTCTTACACCTATTTTTATTTTAAAATAACTTAAAATTTTTGTTTTGCTAGATTTTTGTAGCTTAATTTAATTAAATAAGCTTTACCGATTGATATATTTCTCGAGAAAAATTTTTATAATTTTTGCAATCTGATATAAAAATTTGACTTTAGTGATAAATTTATAATTGATATAAACTGTTATCATATCTCTACTAGCCAAGCCAATAAGTGTTAAATTTTTCATCTAATGTTACCTAAGTTTCAAAAGCAGAATTTTATATTTATATTTTTAGCTTAAATTATATTTTTGTCAAATTAATTTTTTCATTTAATTAAGAAAAGTTTATTATTTAAAAAAATTCCATTCAGTTTTAATAGTTTCAAATAATTACAGCTATCAGTTTTACGTAATTTATGCATATTTTAACAATTTCAGCAGTTTTATGCTTATATTTGAATTTATAATTTTAATTTTGCGCTCAAATCTTTTTTAGAATAATTGATTCGTGATAATATGAAGTTATTATCAGAACTATATTTGATAACTTTTAAAAATAACTAATTAATTGATAACTAGTAAAACTGCTATAGAATCCTAATTATTATTGATTAAATCTATTAGATTCAAAACATTTGCTGTTAAACTGAATGAAATTATGAGAAATTTAATATAATTTTTTTTTTTTTTTTTGCTCATTAAATCATTAAATGATCAATGCCGCATTCTTTAAAAGCATTAATTGATTCAACTGATTTAATCAATATTATCAAATCAGTGTAAATAATTTACCAATATTATCATATCACAATATCAATGTAATTTAAGTAGATTAAGGATATTAAATGTTAAATTATTTTTATAATATCAATATTCTATCAGTTATAATCAGTGTGACATTTTTGTGACAATTTCTCCTTTCCTAAATTCATTTGCATTCAAATGAAAGCACTTTTAATGATTTGTTAATTTATCAATTTTTTTTTTCTTAAACGCTCTTACGCTGATCACACAGCTAATTGATAAATAACACATTTCAATTGTTTAGCTGATAAGATATATCAAAATGAACTTTTATAAGATTGATCTGAACATCTTAGCTAAATCATTCATTTATTTTCAAATTAATTTTTATTATCATAAACAACCAACAATTTAATTCTATTAATTTCATTCTTTGTCTTTCACAGTTTTTTTTTCCTAAAATTTAATCATTTCCCATCCATTAAATCAATTAATCTATTTGATAATAATAAATCAATCTTATGTGCAACAAATAATTCTTTTTTTTTTTTTATCTCATAAATCGATTTGAAAATTGATTTATTATTATCAGTGTGTTTCAATCAGTTACAAAAGTGACAAAAAATATTCACAAACATTTCAAATTTTTCCGACTTAAAATTTTCAAAATAATTTTTTATCACTTGTGCTTAATTTAAAAAAAAAAAAAAAAAAAAAAACTTATTTTCTTACATATTTTATCAATTCATAAAATTTCAAATTTTCATAAGAACTTTTTTTTTTTGAAAAAAGAAAGAAAAGAAGATGTATAACTGTATTATAATGTAATTTCATATCACAAAAATTATCCTATTATAATGAAAAAATCAAATGAAATAATATATCATTGACATATAAATAGCAAACAAAATTAATTATCATATTAAATTAAAATTTGAAATTAGAAAAAGAGAACAATTCATTTTATTAGTTATGTCACATTACTTTTATACAATTATTTCAATCAATACAAAAGTTTTTTTTTTTAGTTTGATTCCATTTCAATCAACATATATAATAGTTTGATTCCATTTCAACATATATCATATTCGATACATTTATTTATTTTATAATTATTATACTTCCCAGAACAATTTTCCCAAAAAAACTTCAGCTAGAAAATCAAAATTTATTACTTTTTCTAAAATATTTGAGCTATTATACAAGATAAACAATATTACATTCCAAATATTCTAAATTAAATAATACCAAATAGATATCCTTAAACATGCTAGAATTCCACATGCTAGAATAAATTTAAATAAAGCATAACCATTTAAATATCACCAAAAAAAAAAGTATAGTAATTTAAGTAGACAAATTTTGAAAAAAAAAAGAAAAAAAGGTATGACATATATTAGTAGTTAAATTTGAAAGGTAGCAATAATAACAATAACAGTAACAATATTTACCAAATTCTTTGAAACTTTAAAAGAAAATTAGTTTTTCTTAAAAAAGGAAAAATATTTTTTCAATTTCATTAATTTCATCATTTTTAAATGAATATTTTTTGTTTCGCTGATTTTTTTAACTAATCTAATTTAGGTACTAAATAGTTTAATTGATTCTTTTATTCTATATTATATTGCAACTAAAAATAAAAAATTATTTCATAATTTAATTTAATCACTGAGTTATTCAATTTATTATCATCAAAACAGATAGCAAACATGATTTTTTTTTTTTTGTAATTTTAGGTTTTTTTTTCTTTTTCTTTCCTATCATATTTTTTGTTCTCATTTTTTTTTTTTTTTTTTGTTAAGCAAGAAAAAAGACATAAAAATTCAATGAAATACCATACGGAAATTCCATTTAAAAAAAAATTATTGATCATAAAACTTTCAATAGCCTTTGCAATTTTAACTTTTTATTTTGTTTTTGTCCTTTTATCTCTTTCTTTTCTGGTCGTTTTAATTCTAGAAAAATTCATTCAGAAATTTATTCAGCCCTCATCGCTCCGCTACCACCCCCGCGCCTACAGGCCACGCCTTCGTCGCCCCGCCCCTAATACGCTTGCTTGACCACGCCCTTTTCGCCCCGCCTCCGCCACGCCCGCATGGCCACGCCCCTTTCGTCCCGCCCCCCGCCATTACTGCACCTCTTATCACTGTACCTCTTATCACTGTACCTCTTATCACTGTACCTCTTATCACTGTACCTCTTATCACTGCACCTCTTATCACTGTACCTCTTATCACTGCACCTCTTATCACTGTACCTCTTATCACTGCACCTCTTATCACTGCACCTCTTATCACTGTACCTCTTATCACTGTACCTCTTATCACTGTACCTCTTATCACTGTACCTCTTATCACTGTACCTCTTATCACTGCACCTCTTATCACTGTACCTCTTATCACTGCACCTCTTATCACTGTACCTCTTATCACTGCACCTCTTATCACTGTACCTTTTATCACTGCACCTCTTATCACTGTACCTCTTATCACTGCACCTCTTATCACTGTACCTCTTATCACTGTACCTCTTATCACTGTACCTCTTATCACCGTACCTCTTGGTACCGCACCTTTTGGTACCGTACCTCTTGTTACCGCACCTTTTGGTACCGTACCTTTTGTTACCGCACCTTTTGGTACCGTACCTCTTGGTACCGTACCCTTTATCACCGTACCTCTTGGTACCGTACCTCTTATCACTGTACCTCTTGGTACCGTACTTTTTGTTATTGTACCTCTTGTTACCGTACCTTTTGGTACCGTACCTCTTGGTACCGTACCTTTTATCACCGTACCTCTTGGTACCGTATTTTTGTTATTGTATCTTTTGGTACCGTATCTTTTGTTGATGTACCTCTTGTTACCGTACTTTTTATCACTGTATCTCTTGGTACCGTACCTCTTATCACTGTACCTCTTGGTACCGTACTTTTTGTTATTGTACCTCTTGTTACCGTACCTCTTGGTACCGAACCTCTTGTTACCGCACCTTTTGGTACCGTACCTCTTGGTACCGTACCTTTTATCACCGTATTTCTTGTAACCGTACTTTTTATCACTGTACCTCTTGGTACCGTACTTTTTGTTATTGTACCTCGTGGTACCGTATCTTTTATTACTGTACCTCTTATCACTGTACCTCTTGGTACCGTACTTTTTGTTATTGTACCTCTTGTTACCGTACCTTTTAGTACCGTACCTCTTGGTACCGTACCTTTTATCACCGTACCTCTTGGTACCGTACTTTTTGTTATTGTACCTCTTGTTACCGTACCTTTTGGTACCGTACCTCTTGGTACCGTACCTTTTATCACCGTACCTCTTGGTACCGTACCTTTTATCACCGTACCTCTTGGTACCGTAATTTTTGTTATTGTATCTTTTAGTACCGTATCTTTTGTTAATGTACCTCTTGTTACCGCACCTTTTATTATTCTACTTCTTGGTACCGTACTTTTTGTTATTGTACCTCGTGGTACCGTATCTTTTATTACTGTACCTCTTGGTACCGTACCTCTTGTTACCGTACTTTTTATCACTGTATCTCTTGGTACCGTACCTCTTATCACTGTACCTCTTCGTACCGTACTTTTTCTTATTGTACCTCTTGTTACCGTACTTTTTGTTATTGTACCTCGTGGTACCGTATCTTTTATTACTGTACCTCTTGGTACCGTACCTTTATCACCGTACCTCTTGGTACCGTAATTTTGTTATTGTATCTTTTGGTACCGTATCTTTTGTTAATGTACCTCTTGCTACCGTACTTCTTGTTACCGTACTTTTATCACTGTATCTCTTGGTACCGTACCTCTTATCACTGTACCTCTTGGTACCGTACTTTTGTTATTGTACCTTGTTACCGTACCTCTTAGTACCGAACCTCTTGTTACCGCGCCTTTTGGTACCATATCTTTTGTTAAAACGGTGATAGGAAGTACGGTACCAAGAGATACAGTGATAAAAGTACGGTAACAAGAGGTACGGTACCAAGAGGTACAGTAATAAAAGATACGGTACCACGAGGTACGGTGATAAAAGGTACGGTACCAAGAGGTACGGTACCAAAAGGTACGGTACCAAGAGGTACGGTACCAAAAGGTACGGTAACAAGAGGTACAATAACAAAAAGTACGGTACCAAGAGGTACAGTGATAAAAGGTACGGTACCAAGAGGTACGGTGATAAAAGGTACGGTACCAAGAGGTACGGTACCAAAAGGTACGGTAACAAGAGGTACGGTACCAAAAGGTGCGGTAACAAGAGGTACGGTACCAAAAGGTACGGTACCAAGAGGTACAGTGATAAGAGGTACGGTACCAAGAGGTACGGTGATAAAAGGTACGGTAACAAGAGGTACAATAACAAAAAGTACGGTACCATAAGGTACGGTACCAAGAGGTACGGTACCAAAAGGTGCGGTAACAAGAGGTACGGTACCAAAAGGTACGGTGCCAAGAGGTACGGTGATAAGAGGTACAGTGATAAGAGGTACAGTGATAAGAGGTACAGTGATAAGAGGTGCAGTGATAAGAGGTACAGTGATAAGAGGTGCAGTGATAAGAGGTACAGTGATAAGAGGTGCAGTGATAAGAGGTACAGTGATAAGAGGTACAGTGATAAGAGGTACAGTGATAAGAGGTGCAGTGATAAGAGGTACAGTGATAAGAGGTGCAGTGATAAGAGGTGCAGTGATAAGAGGTACAGTGATAAGAGGTGCAGTAATGGCAAGGGGCGGGACGAAAAGGGGCGTGGCCATGCGGGCGTGGCGGAGGCGGGGCGAAAAGGGCGTGGTCAAGCAAGCGTATTAGGGGCGGGGCGACGAAGGCGTGGCCTGTAGGCGCGGGGGTGGTAGCGGAGCGATGAGGGCTGAATAAATTTCTGAATGAATTTTTCTAGAATTAAAACGACCAGAAAAGAAAGAGATAAAAGGACAAAAACAAAATAAAAAGTTAAAATTGCAAAGGCTATTGAAAGTTTTATGATCAATAATTTTTTTTTAAATGGAATTTCCGTATGGTATTTCATTGAATTTTTATGTCTTTTTTCTTGCTTAACAAAAAAAAAAAAAAAAAAAATGAGAACAAAAATATGATAGGAAAGAAAAAAGAAAAAAACCTAAAATTACAAAAAAAAAAAAATCATGTTTGCTATCTGTTTTGATGATAATAAATTGAATAACTCAGTGATTAAATTAAATTATGAAATAATTTTTTATTTTTTAGTTGCAATATAATATAGAATAAAAGAATCAATTAAACTATTTAGTACCTAAATTAGATTAGTTAAAAAAAATCAGCGAAACAAAAAATATTCATTTAAAAATGATGAAATTAATGAAATTGAAAAATATTTTTCTTTTTTAAGAAAAACTAATTTTCTTTTAAAGTTTCAAAGAATTTGGTAAATATTGTTACTGTTATTGTTATTATTGCTACCTTTCAAATTTAACTACTAATATATGTCATACCTTTTTTTTCTTTTTTTTTTTCAAAATTTGTCTACTTAAATTACTATACTTTTTTTTTTGGTGATATTTAAATGGTTATGCTTTATTTAAATTTATTCTAGCATGTGGAATTCTAGCATGTTTAAGGACATCTATTTGCTAATATTTAATTTAGAATATTTGGAATGTAATATTGTTTATCTTGCATTGTATAATAGCTCAAATATTTTAGAAAAAGTAATAAAGTAAAAAATTAGTAAAAAAAAAAAAGTAAAAAATTATGTTACTTATAAATTTAGTCATTGCTATTTTCAATTATTAGCAATATTTGATTCTTGAATTTGCAATTCAATTTTAAGTAATCGAATATTAGCTCATATTTCAGATAATATATGCTAATCAATGGCAATCAATGCAACTAATAAATGATCAAAAAGCAATTCATTTTCGTCCTTTTTTTTTTCTTTACATTTAGGAAAATTATCATTGAATAATAATCAGTTCAAAAAAAAAAAAAGCATTGATCATAGCTAATTGATCAAAATAACTGCAATCATTTAGAATCAAATCACGATCATTTTAGACAAATCAAAAAATGATTGTTTTAACTATCCAATAAAGCTAATAACAATTTTGTGGACAAATGTTCAATTATTTGACAAAATTTTCTTTGTCGCAAAAAAAAAAAAAAAAAAAACTAATCATAAAATAACAATTGAACACTGAAAATAAATTGATAATTAATAATAATAATTAAATTTTTTCTTATAAAATTCCTCGAGTATGAAATAACAAATTTTGTCACTTATTTTTTTTTTTTTAAATCCTGAAATTGGTAATAGTTGTAGTTCCTTCAAAATTTGAGAAATTTTGAAAAAGCAAAGATTATTTGTTATAAAAATGAGCAAATTTCAAAACATATTTATAATTAATTTCAGGATAAAAATCCTATCAAGAATTTACATGTGGTTTGAATTTATAATCTTTTCAATTTTAATACCAATAATTTTTGAAATAGTTTTTAATATTACTTTAATTAAAAAAAAATTTATTAAGTATTACTTTAATCAAAATCAAAAATTGATTATATATTACTTTAATTTATTATATATTACTTTAATCAAAATCAAAAAGTTTAGCAATTAAGCTTACATATTACCTTCATGCTGAAAGCTAAATGATTGCAAAATTTCAAATTTAACATTTTCTTACACCTATTTTTATTTTAAAATAACTTAAAATTTTTGTTTTGCTAGATTTTTGTAGCTTAATTTAATTAAATAAGCTTTACCGATTGATATATTTCTCGAGAAAAATTTTTATAATTTTTGCAATCTGATATAAAAATTTGACTTTAGTGATAAATTTATAATTGATATAAACTGTTATCATATCTCTACTAGCCAAGCCAATAAGTGTTAAATTTTTCATCTAATGTTACCTAAGTTTCAAAAGCAGAATTTTATATTTATATTTTTAGCTTAAATTATATTTTTGTCAAATTAATTTTTTCATTTAATTAAGAAAAGTTTATTATTTAAAAAAATTCCATTCAGTTTTAATAGTTTCAAATAATTACAGCTATCAGTTTTACGTAATTTATGCATATTTTAACAATTTCAGCAGTTTTATGCTTATATTTGAATTTATAATTTTAATTTTGCGCTCAAATCTTTTTTAGAATAATTGATTCGTGATAATATGAAGTTATTATCAGAACTATATTTGATAACTTTTAAAAATAACTAATTAATTGATAACTAGTAAAACTGCTATAGAATCCTAATTATTATTGATTAAATCTATTAGATTCAAAACATTTGCTGTTAAACTGAATGAAATTATGAGAAATTTAATATAATTTTTTTTTTTTTTTTGCTCATTAAATCATTAAATGATCAATGCCGCATTCTTTAAAAGCATTAATTGATTCAACTGATTTAATCAATATTATCAAATCAGTGTAAATAATTTACCAATATTATCATATCACAATATCAATGTAATTTAAGTAGATTAAGGATATTAAATGTTAAATTATTTTTATAATATCAATATTCTATCAGTTATAATCAGTGTGACATTTTTGTGACAATTTCTCCTTTCCTAAATTCATTTGCATTCAAATGAAAGCACTTTTAATGATTTGTTAATTTATCAATTTTTTTTTTCTTAAACGCTCTTACGCTGATCACACAGCTAATTGATAAATAACACATTTCAATTGTTTAGCTGATAAGATATATCAAAATGAACTTTTATAAGATTGATCTGAACATCTTAGCTAAATCATTCATTTATTTTCAAATTAATTTTTATTATCATAAACAACCAACAATTTAATTCTATTAATTTCATTCTTTGTCTTTCACAGTTTTTTTTTCCTAAAATTTAATCATTTCCCATCCATTAAATCAATTAATCTATTTGATAATAATAAATCAATCTTATGTGCAACAAATAATTCTTTTTTTTTTTTTTATCTCATAAATCGATTTGAAAATTGATTTATTATTATCAGTGTGTTTCAATCAGTTACAAAAGTGACAAAAAATATTCACAAACATTTCAAATTTTTCCGACTTAAAATTTTCAAAATAATTTTTTATCACTTGTGCTTAATTTAAAAAAAAAAAAAAAAAAAAAAAACTTATTTTCTTACATATTTTATCAATTCATAAAATTTCAAATTTTCATAAGAACTTTTTTTTTTTTTAGAAAGAAAAGAAGATGTATAACTGTATTATAATGTAATTTCATATCACAAAAATTATCCTATTATAATGAAAATCAAATGAAATAATATATCATTGACATATAAATAGCAAACAAAATTAATTATCATATTAAATTAAAATTTGAAATTAGAAAAAGAGAACAATTCATTTTATTAGTTATGTCACATTACTTTTATACAATTATTTCAATCAATACAAAAGTTTTTTTTTTTAGTTTGATTCCATTTCAATCAACATATATAATAGTTTGATTCCATTTCAACATATATCATATTCGATACATTTATTTATTTTATAATTATTATACTTCCCAGAACAATTTTCCCAAAAATAAACTTCAGCTAGAAAATCAAAATTTATTACTTTTTCTAAAATATTTGAGCTATTATACAAGATAAACAATATTACATTCCAAATATTCTAAATTAAATAATACCAAATAGATATCCTTAAACATGCTAGAATTCCACATGCTAGAATAAATTTAAATAAAGCATAACCATTTAAATATCACCAAAAAAAAAAAGTATAGTAATTTAAGTAGACAAATTTTGAAAAAAAAAAGAAAAAGGTATGACATATATTAGTAGTTAAATTTGAAAGGTAGCAATAATAACAATAACAGTAACAATATTTACCAAATTCTTTGAAACTTTAAAAGAAAATTAGTTTTTCTTAAAAAGAAAAATATTTTTTCAATTTCATTAATTTCATCATTTTTAAATGAATATTTTTTGTTTCGCTGATTTTTTTAACTAATCTAATTTAGGTACTAAATAGTTTAATTGATTCTTTTATTCTATATTATATTGCAACTAAAAATAAAAATTATTTCATAATTTAATTTAATCACTGAGTTATTCAATTTATTATCATCAAAACAGATAGCAAACATGATTTTTTTTTTTGTAATTTTAGGTTTTTTTTCTTTTTTCTTTCCTATCATATTTTTGTTCTCATTTTTTTTTTTTTTTTTTTGTTAAGCAAGAAAAAGACATAAAAATTCAATGAAATACCATACGGAAATTCCATTAAGAAAAAAAATTATTGATCATAAAACTTTCAATAGCCTTTGCAATTTTAACTTTTTATTTTGTTTTTGTCCTTTTATCTCTTTCTTTTCTGGTCGTTTTAATTCTAGAAAAATTCATTCAGAAATTTATTCAGCCCTCATCGCTCCGCTACCACCCCCGCGCCTACAGGCCACGCCTTCGTCGCCCCGCCCCTAATACGCTTGCTTGACCACGCCCTTTTCGCCCCGCCTCCGCCACGCCCGCATGGCCACGCCCCTTTTCGTCCCGCCCCCCGCCATTACTGCACCTCTTATCACTGTACCTCTTATCACTGTACCTCTTATCACTGTACCTCTTATCACCGTACCTCTTATCACTGTACCTCTTATCACTGCACCTCTTATCACTGTACCTCTTATCACTGCACCTCTTATCACTGTACCTCTTATCACTGCACCTCTTATCACTGCACCTCTTATCACTGTACCTCTTATCACTGCACCTCTTATCACTGTACCTCTTATCACTGTACCTCTTATCACTGTACCTCTTATCACTGTACCTCTTATCACTGCACCTTTTATCACTGTACCTCTTATCACTGCACCTCTTATCACTGAACCTCTTATCACTGCACCTCTTATCACTGTACCTTTTATCACTGCACCTCTTATCACTGTACCTCTTATCACTGCACCTCTAATCACTGTACCTCTTATCACTGTACCTCTTATCACTGTACCTCTTATCACCGTACCTCTTGGTACCGTACCTTGTACCGCACCTTTGGTACCGTACCTTTTGGTACCGTACCTTATGGTACCGTACTTTTGTTATTGTACCTCTTGTTACCGTACCTTTTATCACCGTACCTCTTGGTACCGTACCTCTTATCACTGTACCTCTTGGTACCGTACCTTTGGTACCGTACCTCTTGTTACCGCACCTTTGGTACCGTACCTTTTGTTACCGCACCTTTTGGTACCGTACCTCTTGGTACCGTACCCTTTATCACCGTACCTCTTGGTACCGTACCTCTTATCACTGTACCTCTTGGTACCGTACTTTTTGTTATTGTACCTCTTGTTACCGTACCTTTTGGTACCGTACCTCTTGGTACCGTACCTTTTATCACCGTACCTCTTGGTACCGTATTTTTGTTATTGTATCTTTGGTACCGTATCTTTTGTTGATGTACCTCTTGTTACCGTACTTTTTATCACTGTATCTCTTGGTACCGTACCTCTTATCACTGTACCTCTTGGTACCGTACTTTTTGTTATTGTACCTCTTGTTACCGCACCTTTTGGTACCGTACCTCTTGGTACCGTACCTTTATCACCGTATTTCTTGTAACCGTACTTTTTATCACTGTACCTCTTGGTACCGTACTTTTGTTATTGTACCTCGTGGTACCGTATCTTTTATTACTGTACCTCTTATCACTGTACCTCTTGGTACCGTACTTTTGTTATTGTACCTCTTGTTACCGTACCTTTTAGTACCGTACCTCTTGGTACCGTACCTTTTATCACCGTACCTCTTGGTACCGTACTTTTTGTTATTGTACCTCTTGTTACCGTACCTTTTGGTACCGTACCTCTTGGTACCGTACCTTTTATCACCGTACCTCTTGGTACCGTACCTTTTATCACCGTACCTCTTGGTACCGTACATTGTCTTGTTATTGTATCTTTTAGTACCGTATCTTTTGTTAATGTACCTCTTGTTACCGCACCTTTTATTATTCTACTTCTTGGTACCGTACTTTTTGTTATTGTACCGTGGTACCGTATTTTTATTACTGTACCTCTTGGTACCGTACCTCTTGTTACCGTACTTTTTATCACTGTATCTCTTGGTACCGTACCTCTTATCACTGTACCTCTTCGTACCGTACTTTTTCTTATTGTACCTCTTGTTACCGTACCTCTTGGTACCGTACTTTTTGTTATTGTACCTCGTGGTACCGTATCTTTTATTACTGTACCTCTTGGTACCGTACCTTTTATCACCGTACCTCTTGGTACCGTAATTTTTGTTATTGTATCTTTTGGTACCGTATCTTTTGTTAATGTACCTCTTGCTACCGTACTTTTTGTTACCGTACTTTTATCACTGTATCTCTTGGTACCGTACCTCTTATCACTGTACCTCTTGGTACCGTACTTTTGTTACTGTACCTCTTGTTACCGTACTTTTAGTACCGAACCTCTTGTTACCGCGCCTTTTGGTACCATATCTTTTGTTAAAACGGTGATAGGAAGTACGGTACCAAGAGATACAGTGATAAAAAGTACGGTAACAAGAGGTACGGTACCAAGAGGTACAGTAATAAAAGATACGGTACCACGAGGTACGGTGATAAAAGGTACGGTACCAAGAGGTACGGTACCAAAAGGTACGGTACCAAGAGGTACGGTACCAAAAGGTACGGTAACAAGAGGTACAATAACAAAAAGTACGGTACCAAGAGGTACAGTGATAAGAGGTACGGTACCAAGAGGTACGGTGATAAAAGGTACGGTACCAAGAGGTACGGTACCAAAAGGTACGGTAACAAGAGGTACGGTACCAAAAGGTGCGGTAACAAGAGGTACGGTACCAAAAGGTACGGTACCAAGAGGTACAGTGATAAGAGGTACGGTACCAAGAGGTACGGTGATAAAAGGTACGGTAACAAGAGGTACAATAACAAAGAAGTACGGTACCATAAGGTACGGTACCAAGAGGTACGGTACCAAAAGGTGCGGTAACAAGAGGTACGGTACCAAAAGGTACGGTACCAAGAGGTACGGTGATAAGAGGTACAGTGATAAGAGGTACAGTGATAAGAGGTACAGTGATTAGAGGTGCAGTGATAAGAGGTTCAGTGATAAGAGGTGCAGTGATAAGAGGTACAGTGATAAGAGGTGCAGTGATAAGAGGTACAGTGATAAGAGGTGCAGTGATAAGAGGTACAGTGATAAGAGGTGCAGTGATAAGAGGTACAGTGATAAGAGGTGCAGTGATAAGAGGTACAGTGATAAGAGGTGCAGTGATAAGAGGTACAGTGATAAGAGGTGCAGTGATAAGAGGTACAGTGATAAGAGGTACAGTGATAAGAGGTACAGTGATAAGAGGTGCAGTGATAAGAGGTACAGTGATAAGAGGTGCAGTAATGGCGGGGGCGGGACGAAAAGGGGCGTGGCCATGCGGGCGTGGCGGAGGCGGGGCGAAAAGGGCGTGGTCAAGCAAGCGTATTAGGGGCGGGGCGACGAAGGCGTGGCCTGTAGGCGCGGGGGTGGTAGCGGAGCGATGAGGGCTGAATAAATTTCTGAATGAATTTTTCTAGAATTAAAACGACCAGAAAAGAAAGAGATAAAAGGACAAAAACAAAATAAAAAGTTAAAATTGCAAAGGCTATTGAAAGTTTTATGATCAATAATTTTTTTTTTTAAATGGAATTTCCGTATGGTATTTCATTGAATTTTTATGTCTTTTTTTCTTGCTTAACAAAAAAAAAAAAAAAAAAAAGAACAAAAAATATGATAGGAAAGAAAAAGAAAAAAACCTAAAATTACAAAAAAAAAAAAATCATGTTTGCTATCTGTTTTGATGATAATAAATTGAATAACTCAGTGATTAAATTAAATTATGAAATAATTTTTTATTTATTTAGTTGCAATATAATATAGAATAAAAGAATCAATTAAACTATTTAGTACCTAAATTAGATTAGTTAAAAAAAATCAGCGAAACAAAAAATATTCATTTAAAAATGATGAAATTAATGAAATTGAAAAATATTTTTTCTTTTTAAGAAAAACTAATTTTCTTTTAAAGTTTCAAAGAATTTGGTAAATATTGTTACTGTTATTGTTATTATTGCTACCTTTCAAATTTAACTACTAATATATGTCATACCTTTTTTTTTTTTTTTTTTTTTCAAAATTTGTCTACTTAAATTACTATACTTTTTTTTTTGGTGATATTTAAATGGTTATGCTTTATTTAAATTTATTCTAGCATGTGGAATTCTAGCATGTTTAAGGATATCTATTTGGTATTATTTAATTTAGAATATTTGGAATGTAATATTGTTTATCTTGTATAATAGCTCAAATATTTTAGAAAAAGTAATAAATTTGATTTTCTAGCTGAAGTTTTTTGGGAAAATTGTTCTGGGAAGTATAATAATTATAAAATAAATAAATGTATCGAATATGATATATGTTGAAATGGAATCAAACTATTATATATGTTGATTGAAATGGAATCAAACTAAAAAAACTTTTGTATTGATTGAAATAATTGTATAAAAGTAATGTGACATAACTAATAAAATGAATTGTTCTCTTTTTCCTAATTTCAAATTTTAATTTAATATGATAATTAATTTTGTTTGCTATTTATATGTCAATGATATATTATTTCATTTGATTTTTTCATTATAATAGGATAATTTTTGTGATATGAAATTACATTATAATACAGTTATACATCTTCTTTTCTTTCTTTTTTCAAAAAAAAAAAAAAAGTTCTTATGAAAATTTGAAATTTTATGAATTGATAAAATATGTAAGAAAATAAGTTTTTTTTTTTTTTTTTTTTTTTTAAATTAAGCACAAGTGATAAAAAATTATTTTGAAAATTTTAAGTCGGAAAAATTTGAAATGTTTGTGAATATTTTTTGTCACTTTTGTAACTGATTGAAACACACTGATAATAATAAATCAATTTTCAAATCGATTTATGAGATAAAAAAAAAAAAAAGAATTATTTGTTGCACATAAGATTGATTTATTATTATCAAATAGATTAATTGATTTAATGGATGGGAAATGATTAAATTTTAGGAAAAAAAAACTGTGAAAGACAAAGAATGAAATTAATAGAATTAAATTGTTGGTTGTTTATGATAATAAAAATTAATTTGAAAATAAATGAATGATTTAGCTAAGATGTTCAGATCAATCTTATAAAAGTTCATTTTGATATATCTTATCAGCTAAACAATTGAAATGTGTTATTTATCAATTAGCTGTGTGATCAGCGTAAGAGCGTTTAAGAAAAAAAAAATTGATAAATTAACAAATCATTAAAAGTGCTTTCATTTGAATGCAAATGAATTTAGGAAAGGAGAAATTGTCACAAAAATGTCACACTGATTATAACTGATAGAATATTGATATTATAAAAATAATTTAACATTTAATATCCTTAATCTACTTAAATTACATTGATATTGTGATATGATAATATTGGTAAATTATTTACACTGATTTGATAATATTGATTAAATCAGTTGAATCAATTAATGCTTTTAAAGAATGCGGCATTGATCATTTAATGATTTAATGAGCAAAAAAAAAAAAAATTATATTAAATTTCTCATAATTTCATTCAGTTTAACAGCAAATGTTTTGAATCTAATAGATTTAATCAATAATAATTAGGATTCTATAGCAGTTTTACTAGTTATCAATTAATTAGTTATTTTTAAAAGTTATCAAATATAGTTCTGATAATAACTTCATATTATCACGAATCAATTATTCTAAAAAGATTTGAGCGCAAAATTAAAATTATAAATTCAAATATAAGCATAAAACTGCTGAAATTGTTAAAATATGCATAAATTACGTAAAACTGATAGCTGTAATTATTTGAAACTATTAAAACTGAATGGAATTTTTTAAATAATAAACTTTTCTTAATTAAATGAAAAATTAATTTGACAAAATATAATTTAAGCTAAAAATATAAATATAAAATTCTGCTTTTGAAACTTAGGTAACATTAGATGAAAAATTTAACACTTATTGGCTTGGCTAGTAGAGATATGATAACAGTTTATATCAATTATAAATTTATCACTAAAGTCAAATTTTTTATATCAGATTGCAAAAATTATAAAAATTTTTCTCGAGAAATATATCAATCGGTAAAGCTTATTTAATTAAATTAAGCTACAAAAATCTAGCAAAACAAAAATTTTAAGTTATTTTAAAATAAAAATAGGTGTAAGAAAATGTTAAATTTGAAATTTTGCAATCATTTAGCTTTCAGCATGAAGGTAATATGTAAGCTTAATTGCTAAACTTTTTGATTTTGATTAAAGTAATATATAATAAATTAAAGTAATATATAATCAATTTTTTGATTTTGATTAAAGTAATACTTAATAAATTTTTTTTTTAATTAAAGTAATATTAAAAACTATTTCAAAATTATTGGTATTAAAATTGAAAAGATTATAAATTCAAACCACATGTAAATTCTTGATAGGATTTTTTATCCTGAAATTAATTATAAATATGTTTTGAAATTTGCTCATTTTTATAACAAATAATCTTTGCTTTTTCAAAATTTCTCAAATTTTGAAGGAACTACAACTATTACCAATTTCAGGATTTAAAAAAAAAAAAATAAGTGACAAAATTTGTTATTTCATACTCGAGGAATTTTATAAGAAAAATTTAATTATTATTATTAATTATCAATTTATTTTCAGTGTTCAATTGTTATTTTATGATTAGTTTTTTTTTTTTTTTTTTGCGACAAAGAAAATTTTGTCAAATAATTGAACATTTGTCCACAAAATTGTTATTAGCTTTATTGGATAGTTAAAACAATCATTTTTTGATTTGTCTAAAATGATCGTAATTTGATTCTAAATGATTGCAGTTATTTTGATCAATTAGCTATGATCAATGCTTTTTTTTTTTTTGAACTGATTATTATTCAATGATAATTTTCCTAAATGTAAAGAAAAAAAAAGGACGAAAATGAATTGCTTTTTGATCATTTATTAGTTGCATTGATTGCCATTGATTAGCATATATTATCTGAAATATGAGCTAATATTCGATTACTTAAAATTGAATTGCAAATTCAAGAATCAAATATTGCTAATAATTGAAAATAGCAATGACTAAATTTATAAGTAACATAATTTTTTACTTTTTTTTTTACTAATTTTTTACTTTATTACTTTTTCTAAAATATTTGAGCTATTATACAATGCAAGATAAACAATATTACATTCCAAATATTCTAAATTAAATATTAGCAAATAGATGTCCTTAAACATGCTAGAATTCCACATGCTAGAATAAATTTAAATAAAGCATAACCATTTAAATATCACCAAAAAAAAAAGTATAGTAATTTAAGTAGACAAATTTTGAAAAAAAAAAAAGGAAAAAAAAGGTATGACATATATTAGTAGTTAAATTTGAAAGGTAGCAATAATAACAATAACAGTAACAATATTTACCAAATTCTTTGAAACTTTAAAAGAAAATTAGTTTTTCTTAAAAAAGAAAAAATATTTTTTCAATTTCATTAATTTCATCATTTTTAAATGAATATTTTTTGTTTCGCTGATTTTTTTTAACTAATCTAATTTAGGTACTAAATAGTTTAATTGATTCTTTTATTCTATATTATATTGCAACTAAAAAATAAAAAATTATTTCATAATTTAATTTAATCACTGAGTTATTCAATTTATTATCATCAAAACAGATAGCAAACATGATTTTTTTTTTTTTGTAATTTTAGGTTTTTTTTTTCTTTTTTCTTTCCTATCATATTTTTTTGTTCTCATTTTTTTTTTTTTTTTTTGTTAAGCAAGAAAAAAAGACATAAAAATTCAATGAAATACCATACGGAAATTCCATTTAAAAAAAAAAATTATTGATCATAAAACTTTCAATAGCCTTTGCAATTTTAACTTTTTATTTTGTTTTTGTCCTTTTATCTCTTTCTTTTCTGGTCGTTTTAATTCTAGAAAAATTCATTCAGAAATTTATTCAGCCCTCATCGCTCCGCTACCACCCCCGCGCCTACAGGCCACGCCTTCGTCGCCCCGCCCCTAATACGCTTGCTTGACCACGCCCTTTTCGCCCCGCCTCCGCCACGCCCGCATGGCCACGCCCCTTTTCGTCCCGCCCCTTGCCATTACTGCACCTCTTATCACTGTACCTCTTATCACTGTACCTCTTATCACTGCACCTCTTATCACTGCACCTCTTATCACTGTACCTCTTATCACTGTACCTCTTATCACTGTACCTCTTATCACTGCACCTCTTATCACTGTACCTCTTATCACTGCACCTCTTATCACTGTACCTCTTATCACTGCACCTCTTATCACTGTACCTCTTATCACTGCACCTCTTATCACTGTACCTCTTATCACTGCACCTCTTATCACTGTACCTCTTATCACTGTACCTCTTATCACTGTACCTCTTATCACTGTACCTCTTATCACTGCACCTCTAATCACTGTACCTCTTATCACTGTACCTCTTATCACTGTACCTCTTATCACTGTACCTCTTATCACTGCACCTCTTATCACTGTACCTCTTATCACTGCACCTCTTATCACTGTACCTCTTATCACTGTACCTCTTATCACTGTACCTCTTATCACTGTACCTCTTATCACTGTACCTCTTATCACCGTACCTCTTGGTACCGTACCTTCTTGGTACCGTACCTCTTGTTACCGCACCTTCTTGGTACCGTACCTCTTGGTACCGTACCTTATGGTACCGTACTTTTTGTTATTGTACCTCTTGTTACCGTACCTTTTGGTACCGTACCTCTTGTTACCGTACCTTTTGGTACCGTACCTCTTGGTACCGTATTTTTGTTATTGTATCTTTTGGTACCGTATCTTTTGTTGATGTACCTCTTGTTACCGTACTTTTTATCACTGTATCTCTTGGTACCGTACCTCTTATCACTGTACCTTTTGGTACCGTACCTCTTGGTACCGTACCTTTTATCACCGTACCTCTTGGTACCGTACCTTTTATCACCGTACCTCTTGGTACCGTAATTTTTGTTATTGTATCTTTTAGTACCGTATCTTTTGTTAATGTACCTCTTGTTACCGCACCTTTTATTATTCTACTTCTTGGTACCGTACTTTTTGTTATTGTACCTCGTGGTACCGTATCTTTTATTACTGTACCTCTTGGTACCGTACCTCTTGTTACCGTACTTTCTTATCACTGTATCTCTTGGTACCGTACCTCTTATCACTGTACCTCTTCGTACCGTACTTTTTCTTATTGTACCTCTTGTTACCGTACCTCTTGGTACCGTACTTTTTGTTATTGTACCTCGTGGTACCGTATCTTTTATTACTGTACCTCTTGGTACCGTACCTTTTATCACCGTACCTCTTGGTACCGTAATTTTTGTTATTGTATCTTTTGGTACCGTATCTTTTGTTAATGTATTTTTGTTACCGTATTTTGTTACCGTACTTTTTATCACTGTATTCTTGGTACCGTACCTTTATCACTGTACCTCTTGGTACCGTACTTTTTGTTATTGTACTCTTGTTACCGTACTCTTAGTAATGAACCTCTTGTTACCGCGCCTTTGGTACCATATCTTTTGTTAAAACGGTGATAGGAAGTACGGTACCAAGAGATACAGTGATAAAAAGTACGGTAACAGAGGTACGGTACCAAGAGGTACAGTAATAAAAGATACGGTACCACGAGGTACGGTGATAAAGGTACGGTACCAAGAGGTACGGTACCAAAAGGTACGGTACCAAGAGGTACGGTACCAAAGGTACGGTAACAAGAGGTACAATAACAAAAGTACGGTACCAAGAGGTACAGTGATAAGAGGTACGGTACCAAGAGGTACGGTGATAAAAGGTACGGTACCAAGAGGTACGGTACCAAAAGGTGCGGTAACAAGAGGTACCATACCAAAAAGTGCGGTAACAAGAGGTACGGTACCAAACAGGTACGGTACCAAGAGGTACAGTGATAAGAGGTACGGTACCAAGAGGTACGGTGATAAAAGGTACGGTAACAAGAGGTACAATAACAAAAAGTACGGTACCATAAGGTACGGTACCAAGAGGTACGGTACCAAAAGGTGCGGTAACAAGAGGTAATGGTACTAAAAGGTACGGTACCAAGAGGTACGGTGATAAGAGGTACAGTGATAAGAGGTACAGTGATAAGAGGTACAGTGATAAGAGGTACAGTGATAAGAGGTGCAGTGATAATCAATCTTATGTGCAACAAATAATTCTTTTTTTTTTATCTCATAAATCGGTGCAGTGATAATCAATCTTATGTGCAACAAATAATTCTTTTTTTTTTTTTTTTATCTCATAAATCGATTTGAAATTGATTTATTATTATCAGTGTGTTTCAATCAGTTACAAAAGTGACAAAAAATATTCACAAACATTTCAAATTTTCCGACTTAAAATTTTCAAAATAATTTTTTATCACTTGTGCTTAATTTAAAAAAAAAAAAAAAAAAACTTATTTTCTTACATATTTTATCAATTCATAAAATTTCAGATTTTCATAAGAACTTTTTTTTTTTTGAAAAAAGAAAGAAAAGAAGATGTATAACTGTATTATAATGTAATTTCATATCACAAAAATTATCCTATTATAATGAAAAAATCAAATGAAATAATATATCATTGACATATAAATAGCAAACAAAATTAATTATCATATTAAATTAAAATTTGAAATTAGAAAAAAGAGAACAATTCATTTTATTAGTTATGTCACATTACTTTTATACAATTATTTCAATCAATACAAAAGTTTTTTTTTTTAGTTTGATTCCATTTCAATCAACATATATAATAGTTTGATTCCATTTCAACATATATCATATTCGATGCATTTATTTATTTTATAATTATTATACTTCCCAGAACAATTTTCCCAAAAACTTCAGCTAGAAAATCAAAATTTATTACTTTTCTAAAATATTTGAGCTATTATACAAGATAAACAATATTACATTCCAAATATTCTAAATTAAATAATACCAAATAGATATCCTTAAACATGCTAGAATTCCACATGCTAGAATAAATTTAAATAAAGCATAACCATTTAAATATCACCAAAAAAGTATAGTAATTTAAGTAGACAAATTTTGAAAAAAAAAAAAGAAAAAAAAGGTATGACATATATTAGTAGTTAAATTTGAAAGGTAGCAATAATAACAATAACAGTAACAATATTTACCAAATTCTTTGAAACTTTAAAAAGAAAATTAGTTTTCTTAAAAAAGAAAAATATTTTTCAATTTCATTAATTTCATCATTTTTAAATGAATATTTTTGTTTCGCTGATTTTTTTAACTAATCTAATTTAGGTACTAAATAGTTTAATTGATTCTTTTATTCTATATTATATTGCAACTAAAAATAAAAATTATTTCATAATTTAATTTAATCACTGAGTTATTCAATTTATTATCATCAAAACAGATAGCAAACATGATTTTTTTTTTTGTAATTTTAGGTTTTTTTTCTTTTTCTTTCCTATCATATTTTTTTTTTGTTCTCATTTTTTTTTTTTTTTTTTTTGTTAAGCAAGAAAAAAGACATAAAAATTCAATGAAATACCATACGGAAATTCCATTAAGAAAAAAATTATTGATCATAAAACTTTCAATAGCCTTTGCAATTTTAACTTTTTATTTTGTTTTTGTCCTTTTATCTCTTTCTTTCTGGTCGTTTTAATTCTAGAAAAATTCATTCAGAAATTTATTCAGCCCTCATCGCTCCGCTACCACCCCCGCGCCTACAGGCCACGCCTTCGTCGCCCCGCCCCTAATACGCTTGCTTGACCACGCCCTTTTCGCCCCGCCTCCGCCACGCCCGCATGGCCACGCCCCTTTTCGTCTTGCCCCCCGCCATTACTGCACCTCTTATCACTGTACTCTTATCACTGTACCTCTTATCACTGCACCTTATCACTGTACCTCTTATCACTGCACCTCTTATCACTGTACCTCTTATCACTGCACCTCTTATCACTGCACCTCTTATCACTGTACCTCTTATCACTGCACCTCTTATCACTGTACCTCTTATCACTGTACCTCTTATCACTGCACCTCTTATCACTGTACCTCTTATCACTGTACCTCTTATCACTGTACCTCTTATCACTGCACCTCTTATCACTGCACCTCTTATCACTGTACCTCTTATCACTGCACCTCTTATCACTGTACCTCTTATCACTGCACCTCTTATCACTGTACCTCTTATCACTGTACCTCTTATCACTGTACCTCTTATCACTGTACCTCTTATCACTGTACCTTTTATCACTGCACCTCTTATCACTGTACCTCTATCACTGCACCTCTAATCACTGTACCTCTTATCACTGTACCTCTTATCACTGTACCTCTTGGTACCGCACCTTTGGTACCGTACCTCTTGTTACCGTACCTTTGGTACCGTACCTTTGGTACCGTACCTTATGGTACCGTACTTTTTGTTATTGTACCCTTGTTACCGTACCTTTTATCACCGTACCTCTTGGTACCGTACCTCTTATCACTGTACCTCTTGGTACCGTACCTTATACCGTACTTGTTACCGCACCTTTGGTACCGTACCTTTGTTACCGCACCTTTTGGTACCGTACCTCTGGTGTCACCTACCTTTATCACCGTACCTTCTTGGTACCGTACCTCTTATCACTAACCTCCTTGGTACCGTACTTTTTGTTATTGTACCTCTTGTTACCGTACCTTTACCGTACTCTTCTTGGTACCGTACCTTTATCACCGTACCTCTTGGTACCGTATTTTTGTTATTGTATCTTGGTACCGTATCTTTTGTTGATGTACCTGTGTTACCGTACTTTTATCACTGTCTCGTATTGAAATCACTGTACTTCTTCTTGGTAACCTTTTGTTACTGTACTCTTGTTACCGTACTCTTAGTACCGAACCTCTTGTTACCGCGCCTTTGGTACCATATCTTTGTTAAAACGGTGATAGGAGTACGGTACCAAGAGGTACAGTAATAAAAGATACGGTACCACGAGGTACGGTGATAAAAGGTACGGGTACCAAGAAGTACGGTACCAAAAGGTACGGTACCAAGAGGTACGGTACCAAAAGGTACGGTAACAAGAGGTACAATAACAAAAAGTACGGTACCAAGAGGTACAGTGATAAGAGGTACGGTACCAAGAGGTACGGTGATAAAAGGTACGGTACCAAGAGGAACGGTACCAAAAGGTGCGGTAACAAGAGGTACCATACCAAAAGGTGCGGTAACAAGAGGTACGGTACCAAAAGGTACGGTACCAAGAGGTACAGTGATAAGAGGTACGGTACCAAGAGGTACGGTGATAAAAGGTACGGTAACAAGAGGTACAATAACAAAAAGTACGGTACCATAAGGTACGGTACCAAGAGGTACGGTACCTACAAGAGGTGCGGTAACAAGAGGTACGGTACCAAAAGGTACGGTACCAAGAGGTACGGTGATAAGAGGTACAGTGATAAGAGGTACAGTGATAAGAGGTACAGTGATTAGAGGTGCAGTGATAAGAGGTTCAGTAATAAGAGGTGCAGTGAGAAGAGGTACAGTGATAAGAGGTGCAGTGATAAGAGGTACAGTGATAAGAGGTGCAGTGATAAGAGGTACAGTGATAAGAGGTGCAGTGATAAGAGTGCAGTGATAAGAGGTGCAGTGATAAGAGGTACAGTGATAAGAGGTACAGTGATAAGAGGTGCAGTGATAAGAGGTACAGTGATAAGAGGTACAGTGATAAGAGGTACAGTGATAAGAGGTACAGTGATAAGAGGTGCAGTGATAAGAGGTACAGTGATAAGAGGTACAGTGATAAGAGGTGCAAATGGCAAGGGGCGGGACGAAAAGGCGTGGCCATGCGGGCGTGGCGGAGGCGGGGCGAAAAGGCGTGGTCAAGCAAGCGTATTAGGGGCGGGGCGACGAAGGCGTGGCCTGTAGGCGCGGGGGTGGTAGCGGAGCGATGAGGGCTGAATAAATTTCTGAATGAATTTTTCTAGAATTAAAACGACCAGAAAAGAAAGAGATAAAAGGACAAAAACAAAATAAAAGTTAAAATTGCAAAGGCTATTGAAAGTTTTATGATCAATAATTTTTTTTTAAATGGAATTTCCGTATGGTATTTCATTGAATTTTATGTCTTTTTCTTGCTTAACAAAAAAAAAAAAAAAAAAAATGAGAACAAAAAATATGATAGGAAAGAAAAAGAAAAAAACCTAAAATTACAAAAAAAAAAATCATGTTTGCTATCTGTTTTGATGATAATAAATTGAATAACTCAGTGATTAAATTAAATTATGAAATAATTTTTATTTTTTAGTTGCAATATAATATAGAATAAAAGAATCAATTAAACTATTTAGTACCTAAATTAGATTAGTTAAAAAAATCAGCGAAACAAAAATATTCATTTAAAAATGATGAAATTAATGAAATTGAAAAATATTTTTCTTTTTAAGAAAAACTAATTTTCTTTAAAGTTTCAAAGAATTTGGTAAATATTGTTACTGTTATTGTTATTATTGCTACCTTTCAAATTTAACTACTAATATATGTCATACCTTTTTTTTTTTTTTTTTTTCAAAATTTGTCTACTTAAATTACTATACTTTTTTTTTTGGTGATATTTAAATGGTTATGCTTTATTTAAATTTATTCTAGCATGTGGAATTCTAGCATGTTTAAGGATATCTATTTGGTATTATTTAATTTAGAATATTTGGAATGTAATATTGTTTATCTTGTATAATAGCTCAAATATTTTAGAAAAAGTAATAAATTTTGATTTTCTAGCTGAAGTTTTTGGGAAAATTGTTCTGGGAAGTATAATAATTATAAAATAAATAAATGTATCGAATATGATATATGTTGAAATGGAATCAAACTATTATATATGTTGATTGAAATGGAATCAAACTAAAAAAAAAACTTTTGTATTGATTGAAATAATTGTATAAAAGTAATGTGACATAACTAATAAAATGAATTGTTCTCTTTTTCCTAATTTCAAATTTTAATTTAATAT